TCATCTGGCTGTTGTGATGGCTTGTTTGATTCCAATTGCAGAGTTTACACTTTAGACCTAATTTTTTCTTGGACATCATCAGTATTAAGTATATACAATGAGTAGCTTTTCTGGTTCAGGTTTGTGGAATAGAAAACATCACGTTCCAGATTTGGAAGGGTAAATAAACACCAGCCAATAATCCTACTTATTCATCCATAGAGATTTTCAAGCAAAACGATATCAATATTCGCCTCAGTATATCTGTAAAGTGCAAAGCTTACGTTGAAAAAAGGTCATACCTGTTTCAGAGACCATCTATCAAACGACAGCTCCTGATTTGCTAAAATTCATGGTACATCTCAGACACTCCCTTGGCCACAAGCATCGCCATGGTTTTGTTCATTATCATGTCAGGCAAATACAATGCGGAACTGTATTGAATGCATTTAAGCATATGTATTTCACATACATCACATCTCCATTTTAAAACCCGATGATTGACAAATCTGAACACAAATTGCGCCAACAATGACATTGAACATGATTGCATTGAACAGGTCTAGCTCATAGGCAATCAGATGAGATACTTTTCAAAGTTCCTTTCAAGTCCAATGTCGGATTGCAATGGTGATTATACTAGCACATATTCTGCACTATGCTAGACATACATACCACCCGACCAGCATTTGATCCTCAGCTCTCTCTATACTAGCAAAGAGTAACAGGATGTGTTACAATCATGACAGGTATTTTACACCATCTCTAGACAGCGATTATTGTTGTTTATATGCCATAATTTATGGCCTTCACAAAAGAATGAGATGCTTTGCAAGGCCTTCGAGGTGATGCGTTCAAATAATAGATGATATAACACTAAAACGCTCCAGCTAGTTTTTGTTATCACCCGGAAGAGGATGCTCACTCATGCAAATTCGCACCGAATCACCTTTGTACGATTCTTGCCATTTCTTCCCATCGGAACAAACCCAAGCATTATTTCCAAGACTTGTGAGCACCTGGCGTGCAAACAAAGTGAAAAGTATCAAACCATTGAATTCCATAAATCACAGGACTATGCATAGAATTAAGGATATGTCAAGATAGTGGAACGTCGCTGGATTGTCATACGAACCGGTGTATGAGTGTGCTCGAAAAAGAGGAAAAGACAAAGACTACAGAACACGAGATGTTATAAATAAGACCTTATTTCTTACCTTCAATTCTAGCAGAGCCGAATCTGGCAAAATAACCGGACGGAAGGACAGTCAACGAGGACGAATCGGAGTGAAGAACATACATTGAAAATTCGGGTGCACGTGTAGGACAGCAGTCCTAGAACTCAGAATATAACCAGTGCTTTGTGTTCATGAATTGCAATCACTTGATCTAGGTACGGAGTATGATAGCCAATAAATCAGCGCTAATTTTCAATAGAGCTCTACATAGTAGAGGGTTTAGGGTTTACCATGGATCATTCTGAAGCTGTCGAAAAGGCCGTGATAATGACTCCATTTGCTTGTAGCTGTTAAAGAACTTGAGCTCTTAGAATCACTTCCGAGCATAAACCATTCAGTTAACTCTGGGCTTTGTGGCAAGGATGGTTCGATAGATCACCTTCGTTATGAGGCGGTTCCCTTCCGGTTTGGCCATTAATCCTTCTTTTGCCGGAGTTAACAAAATATTTTTGACAAATGCATGCAACCACATCATTACAAAAACGAGCAGACTTACCAGAATCAGTGCAATAACTAATGCGATGCGAAATTGCTCAAACATTAAAACCATCGCCACTACAACTCCAACAGATAGTGACCACATATCATGCAACTTGTCACTCAAAGCGTTGTAGAGGGGACAGGGGAGGTGGGAGGAGTAGAGAGAGAGTCCGCGCATATTTCTTTCTGATCTTTACATTCTTGATTTCGCCTGGTTTCGCGTGGTCGGCGAACACGAAGGAGAAGTACACTTCGACATCTTTGAAGTTGACAGTTCTAACTGGAAAAACCGTAACAAGTCACAGGCATTGTGAAGCAAAGAATCACTCCATCTCTGATCTTCCTGTGATTGCATTGTTGCGAGTATCGAAGAAGAATAACCTGCAGACGACTTCAAAGCCGACAATTGTTTTTCAAAGAAGCCTATAAGTTCACAAACATGGTGTGTGATTGGCTAGTGAGCTCTCCATCTCTGATTTGACTCCTGTGATTTCACTGGTGCGAGTGGAGAAAGACCTGCAGAGGATTATTTCTCGAAGAAGTATATAAAGTTACAAACATTGTGTATGTTTGGCGAGTGAGGGCTCCATAGTTGATTGGACTCTTGCACTTGAACTTGAGTGAGGAGCGAAGAACTCGAATTTGTAATCTGAGTCAATCTCAATCACGCAATGAGTACTTTTTACTTGGCTGTTCATTTCAATCATGGTAATGCTCAAATATTGTGAGATTCTCTCCTGAAAAATTCTATAGGAATAGTGCAAAATACTAACCAAATAAACTTCAAACACGGGAACATCATTAGTATGTAAAAAAGTAACATTGTCAAATCCATCACAAATGGTAAAATACCAAGTATATCAAGAAATGAATATTTGTCAGATATGTTAGCCTGAACAAAGCGGAATTGCATAAAAGTAGGGAATAAAACGGAATTGCAGAATGGTGGCAAGTGAATGTGAGTGAGTATGAGTGCAAAGAGATTGTACTTTTTTCAAAAAGTTTTCTCTCTCTTCCTATTTATATGAAAAAAAATTACAACGAGAACGAGAGTATCGTTGTAGAAAATATCATTTAAAAACGTTCAAATTGTGTCGTACTCTAGTAGCGCTTACTTGCCGTCCTCAGCCAAAGCGCAGCCCGAGGACAGCAATTAAGCGCGGTTCGAGTACAACATAATTTCGACAACAATCCTCTTGTTCTCGTTGTAAATTTTACTTGCCGTCCTTGAGCCGCACTTTGGCTGAGGACAGCAAGTAACGCTTTCTTGAGATCGATCCGTTGTGGGTCGGCGGTGCCGCATTCATCGGCGTAGAAAGAGTCTGTACACTTACTGACCATTGAGTGTGTCAATTTGTAAATGTGAAAGAAACATACTCCTGACTTGATCCTTTACGAGTTTTTTCAGTCATTTTGCGGTGCGAGAGTACAATATCACGTTTGTCGAATTCCAATATATTTATGTATGTACGTTTTTAGAAACAACAAAGTGCATAATGTGGAGACGTGTGCTAGAAGAGTCTGCTGTAACAGTTGTTGATCAAGCTGTGTTCTGGCCAATAGACTAGGAAGAGAGCTACTTCTGTTACTAGCGTATCTCATATTAGTTATCCAGGCTTTGTATAAACCCTTGATGAGTGTCAAATCATGCTCATCAGATTTGAGGGCTTTTTCTGTCGAGGATGTGACAAAACCTTTTCTTAGCTAGAGTTGATTGCTTCCAAGGAGTCATACTTGGCAGAAGCTGAGTGAAAATAGTGTTCATTTTGCAGTTGGTTATGGACTGGATATTACAGCCATCAACTGCGGTAATAACAAACATTACGGTGTCCGTTTGCCAGAAGAAAAATTTTGAGCAGATTCTCGTGACACTGGACTGAGCCTCTGGCAGCACAGGAATGTTGAATATTTGGAGTCCTTTACAGAACTGCACAAATTTTGGATCTTCTGTAAATGCATATGAGAGTTGAAGCTTATCAATGTTTGAAGGTTATAGAGTGCTTATCTAAAACCATAAATTGGAGTCCACATAGCTTTTATCTTTTTATGGAGATAAAATGACGTGAATTTCAGATTCTGACCAAGCGAGTTTTGCAGGAATCTCGCATAGAGTTTGAACCTTTGGTAGTAGTTGTTTTACCCCGAATATCGTAGAGGATTAGAGGGTTTCGCCTCCTTGGCATCCATTGAAGCGAATGTGCTCATCCACTTTGAAGGACCATTACAAGGTGTCTATATCCTGGATTCTGTGAGATATGAAGGCGACGAAGAAGCTGGCCATTGAAGCCATCTGCTTCAGAACCAGAACTCTTGTGTTCCTGAAGGCCATGAGGGCATATACCTCAATCTTCTGCTCCTCGCGCTTATCGAGGTCCGAGATGTTGGCCATTTTGACAGAAACTTGATACTCCTGAGACTGAGCTTCCTCGGACATCCGATGAATCCTATCCTATTGCATGTCTTCTTCAATATTCGACAGCAATATTGCTCTGCAATATTGCTGTCGAATTGGACATTGCAGCTCGTAACCTTGGTCACTTAAGCTAGTACAGACAATGAGAGCGATTAGGGTCGTAAGTCTCACGCTCGGTTGCTGCTCTCGGATCGGCGGCAGGTATGCCAAACCTGCTGCAACGAAGGCCGCAAGTACGAACAGACGGACTGGGCCAAACGAAACGAAACTGGGCCATAGCAGCTTATATGACCTCTACAAGATCCTATTTGGAACAAAATCGTAGGCACGTAAATCTAAAGCGAAAACTACAACCCCAGTAGCGATCAACCATAATCCAGTTACCGGTACGAATAGCATAAAATATTATAACCGACGTCTATTTAAAAAAGGCAACACCAGAATTTTGAGACCAAAAACTATTCGCAGGAACCATAGAATACGTTTTTTCAGATCGAGTTGGAATAAAATCACAGTACCTCGTCGTAATTACTCATACTGTGGTCAAGTTAATGCAAAGTAAATAGATAATTTCAACAAAGAGTAACTATTGTAATATTTTCACCCCAGCGAGTAGTTAAGCATCTACTCGTTAGGGTAGACTTTAGAGTATCTAGTGCTATGAACCTATTGAGAGAAGAATTCATGCTAGGGAAATGGAGGAGAAGATTTCATGAAGCCACAAAATGATGAAACAGGAGAGTAAACAATGACTAGTTACCCATACTATATTACAGTTTCTCAAAAAGTCAAGCTAATTCAGACTGAAATGATTTTTCATGTGTCCACAGCCTACTGCTTTGCATTAGGACAATCGCTAGATCATTGAGTACTAGCGCGAAGAGACTGACAGTCACATACCGAAGAGGTGAAACAAAGTTTATGTACCCCGTAGATATGACTCGAAGGATGAGCAGCAAGGGTGACCTGTGATGTTTTCTGGTAATTAATACCAGCACAGAGCTGATGATGAGCTGTGTGTGGTTTTGGGAGTGGATTGATCTGAAACTTCATTCTTCGTCAAACAACTCTGACCGGTGGAAGTAAATTATGCAGCGATGAATGCAGGGAAATCTTCTTTGCCACAATTTCCGTCAAATTGATATAGAAGATCCCTCAATTTCCTGAGATTTCTGGCTGGCTGGCGGCATACAATACTTTTCCTCGGAGGATATCTCAAAATTGGTTTCTTACACTGCTAATGCACCCAGTGCCATGTATGCTTCGTCTCTTTAGTAGGTATGAGAAGTTCCACCATTCTTGTGACTGTTACGGTTTCCTACGATCAACAGAAAGATTTCTTGTGACATGCGTGGAAGTGCTTTCCATTCTTCAGCATTCCAGTGACCGAAAGATCTTTCCGGATATCCAACATTTGCAGACCTCATTGTGCAGTATTGTGTTTAGGAGTACATAGCATCAGGCATATCCAGGTACAAAGATCTTGCGATCACTCAAATGCTACGTTTGATGAGTCCATCCGAAACCTGCTGGGTTGCTCCACGAGATGAATCGTCGACGCTTTCTGCGAGGATCACTTGTTAAGAGGATGTTTTCAATTCATGTCTGCTTGAGTCATTCTCACCATTCCTGTCTTCGGAATGAAATGGAGATGGAAATTCCATCCTCCGAAAGAAATCAGGTGACAGCCAAGGTCGACACTCACATGAACCTCGTTTTGTCGTGTGTATCTGCATCTTACCTCAGGACTTCTCAAAAGCGGCTTGGTATGCTGCTCTGTGGAAAGGCGATTGCCCCGAGCTCGAAAGGCTCTTGGATGGCATCCATGGGCACATTTTGGTTCGGACGTATCACGATTAGGCCGAAGCACAAACCGTCGGATGCAACTGGAAAGGATGCAATGTCCTGCACGTGGCCGTCAAGCAGGGCTCGGAGGCTCTGATGACGAAATCCTCGACTTCTTCGACGACTGAGAAACGCCACCAGTTCTCGTGAAGAACCAGCCTCGCACTCCTCATGTGTCCTTAACGTACGGCATGAGTTTGATCCTCGCATTCGATGGCAACTGCAGGTTCGACGCCGTCGCCATAGCCCTGCTCAATGGACACGAGAGAATCGTCAGGATTCTCGCAGTCGCTCTCGTTCGTTTATGTCGATCGAACCCCTATCAAATCCAGGAAGCTCTCGAGCCTCCCCCTCCGATACTCGAGGACCGAAGCCTGAACAGATTACAAGGGATCACGTCGCGAGCTGGGCCAAAGTCATCACGCGGTGGCTGCGCTGTTCCAGCGAAGCCACGAGTTCAGTTTCATACCGATGGAATTGTCTCTCTTCCACGCCTAGTGCGCTTGCAGCGAGCGGAACACGGAATTTGAGCTGCTGGACACGGTGAGAAATTGCGAGCAGAAGCTTCTGTCGAAGGCTTTGCAGCTGCGTCGAGCCAAAGAGCTCGAACGATTGTTCAATCTGGAAGACGGCAGAGGATCCGCTGCACGTCGCCGTGGATCACGACGCGATCAAGGAATTCTTCCGCCTCTTAGAACCTGCTGAAATGTACGACTTCAAAGAAGCGTTCTGGGGAGAGATTCTGAACAGATGAGATGGAGGAGGGAGGACGCCATTGCACAGAGCTGCCTCCTCCATAGAAACCCCGAAAGACTTGAAGCTTATCATGAAAGACCATGAAACGGACCTGGCTCTCACCTTCGGATGGAAGGATCTGGGCGACATCTCGAGCATCGTCGACCAGGTTTCCGTGAGAAACGGCTTCGGCAAGGCTACGTTCGAGGGAGCCTTGGCCAGCCACATCTCGTGCTACAATCCTCGCGGTGCGAGGATCATCAAGAAATTTCGCCCCGGAGCATTGAGATCTAGCAAATGCAACATGCGGAGCACGAGGACGACGACAGCTAGAACAAGATTTTGACTCTGCTGGAGCTGGCTGCCAGCGTGGGGAACACGCCCATGGTTCAGCTCTTCTTCATACACTCGAGCTTCCACAATCCTTTCGACGTTGCAACTCACAACTTTCTCTCTAGCAGACTCGGTCCGATTCCGATGCTGCGATCATGTCTTTGTGTTGGCCGTGCCCCGACTATGCACAATGGTCAGTACTCTCTAAATGCGGCAATGGGACTCTCGAGTTCCTTATTTGAAGTATTTCGTTTTCAGAAAGTTCCACATTTAGGACGAAAGTTGTCCTTGTTGATATAGGTGACTTTACTAGAGAAATTAACGGTTTCACTTGACTAAAACTTTTAGTTAATAGTCTTTGTTGATATAGGCGGCGTTACTAGAGAAACTAAAGTAAATACTCAACCAAAACTTTGTGACGTTTAAGTGTACTTACTAACTAAAAGTTGGATATTCTCTTTCACACACCTGAACGGTGTAAATGAAATACGGCTTTTAAAACCGCTCCAAGATTGGTTTCGGATTAGACGAAGCTCCACTGTTATTTAATTTCACTATAGTTTTTACATTTGTTGCATGAAAATTGATAGATTTGACTGAAATTCCCTTGAAGCCATAGGCAAGATTCCATTTCAACAGAAACACCTGTTACACTATGGTCTCTTGTATAGATGCTATGTAGATTTAAGTGTTTGTTGTTAGGGATCATTCTGCATATCTTTTGGACATGTTAGGTGTTGATTCTGCATATCTTTTTGACATCTTGGACATTTGAGGATACTATTTTTAGAACAGACAACTACATGTAGCATCTTTTCACTAACCACCATTAGATAAAGAGAGTATCAGAAACTTTTGACAGAATATAATTTCAATTATTTTGTAGTTTCCGTCAAACATGTCATTTTTATCTGTCATTTTGTAAAAACAAAGCTACCGTGAATAATTTTATTAGTAGAGCTAGGATGGTTGATGTGATTATAGGAGAAATGCTATGGAGTGAAAATGATTTGGATGGTCAAATGCACTGTCACTCTTTAAATCAAACAAAGATGACAATTATTGCATTTACATCCTCCATAAGAAGCAGTTTGAGCTAGTAACTTGTTTTGTTACACTAGTAATGTCTTTTTCGATGGTTGCTGATGCCATTTTGGATGCAAAATAGATATGTGACATTCCAAACTTGGATTTTGCAATGAATATATGGTTTATTTTGACTAAAATAATGTTTCTAATAGATTCACAACATGCGCGGTAAGAAGCATCATTCTAATTTAAATAAATCATGATTTTGCGACATAATCTTATTGTCTTAGTGTAACTTGGTTGCAATTGTAAGTGCCATGTGAGTGAAAGTGTGGATGGTTTATAAGTAAAAAGAACCACTTTGCAACAACAAAAGTCAATTTTTCAAGATTTGCTAACTAACTTACAACGCTTTGCATGTGTAGAGCAAGTTGGGATTGAGTTAAACTCAAAGTCTCCAAAGTTTAACATTGTTATCTTAGACAAATGGCAAGTTAGTCATGCATGGAGATGATTGGATTAATTGAAGATCAGTATCTTTTTGCTACTTATTTTTTGTTAGAGCTCAACACTGAGTCAAAAATTGAAGTTATGCAGTTGGCAACTTGTTTTTGGATATAGTTTGCAATCTAAGCAAGGTAGAAACGACACGTGATGAGTTCAATCAGGCAAATTTTAGTATTTTGTCTCTTCGCTTAATTCAGTAACATATAGCTTTGAAAACACGAGAAGTTGTTCAACTTGTGTTAAATTATCAAGATCGTACCAAACTTTCTTGGGAACCAAAGTACATAGATAAAATAGTGGAAGAACACAAACAGCTTTTGATTTTTGTGAACCAAGAACATAGACTTTGTAATGACTTGAATTGGTTGACTAAACAGTTTGATTTTAAGAGTAGATTTAATCAACTCATGAAAAATTTTTGGAGGATTAATTTGCCCATTTTTGAACACTACAGTGATTTTTCACTGCCTAATGATATGTCGACATTCATTTATATTTATTAAAATACAGTAAAGAAAACAAGAATAATTTTAGTGAAATAAAATTACTAATAATTTAATAAATTTTTAAATTTCCATAAATATAGTCTAACATTGCTGGCCAAAGTGTTGTGAAGACCTGAAATAGTTTGACAAAATCTGCTTAAGCATTCCATTCTCAATCAAGTTTGAAGATATTTTTGCATGAATACTTGATTCATCAATGAAGAGTTTATTTTTATTATTTTATTTTTAGATCTTTTTGAAATTTTTTATTGAGTGATAAGTGAAGAAAATGTGTGAGTTTGTGGTTAGCTATGAATAAAAAAATATGTGCTCGATAAAATTGATGCTTGAAAAAATAACATATTTCTATACTTAAAATCAAATTTACTTAATTATTTATAAACTCATCATAGATTATGATATTTCTATCATAATAAAATGAAATTTTTGATAAAAACAAATAAATCGTAAATATTAAATTCAACAATGTAAAATTATTTTTTCATCATTCAGATTTTCCAAATCAAGAACAAGATTGTAAAAAATTATCTTTCCCATTTTGTATTTTTCTTTCATTGTATTTCATCTTGAAATCAATACTCTTTACATATATGTGTAAAAGTAATTTGGCAAATTTTTTATGTTTTATTTTGTACAAATTCATCAAGAAAAGTAAAATAGTCACTTTATTTATCCAAGTATTTCATACTATGATACTGAAAATATGATATAAATCTGTTAACATACATCTTTTTACATGTCATTCCATACGTACTCTAACTACAAATCAGTTTTTGTCACATCAAATTTTTTTAAATTCTTCAATTTTAAGCACATCTTTTACTTATAGTTTCATTGTATGTGGCAATATCAAACTTAGCACCGCGATTATCATCTCGTTTTATATGTTTGACTAAACATCTATGATTTTTTTGTTTCAAATTTGATTTGATACCAAAATTCAAAACGCTCTGCACAAACTTTTTAAGTCATTTATCTGAATCTAGATGTACTTTTGTGTGAATCTTTTCAAGCTTCAAAACATCAAAGGAAAACGATATTGCCATTATCTTTGACAAAAGTTCGCCAAGACTTGTGTCTTGGCAAAAAGTGCCAAACAAAGACTCTTGGATGAAAGCATGTGTGATCAATTTTGAGCTTTAAAGTTGAATACTTTCATAGAAGCATTTTGTAGTGACTAAGTTTAGATCCAAACATAGTTGTTAGTGTGTCGTCTTATGTTTTATATCATGTCGTCGCAAAAATCCACTTCGTTGGAAAAAGTTGAAAGCTTAATGCTCAAGAGGTGGTGTTGCTTGTCTAGATACAATAAACTACAAATAGATGCACATCGGATGTTTTATGTGAATCTTTGTCTTTATGATTCAAATTTTACTATCTAAATATGAAAAGAAGTAGTATGAACTAATTATTATGTGAATTTGATTCAACTCTTAGAACAAAAAATTAGTCTTGATAACATTTTTTTCTTGTTTAATATCAAATCAATATATATATATATATATAGTAGATAAAAATGGACGATGATATTATCTTTGTTCTGGTTTAAACATTTTCTGGACATATGCATCTCTTTCTTTTCGGTGGATATATGTATGTGTTGCGTCAGGCTTCGATGTCTCCGTGAAAATTGTCAAATCCATTCTTTCGTAGACAATGTATTTATGAAATGCTTATAGCATTCAATTAATTACTTATGATGTCTAGTAGACCTTAGCAACATCATCATATTTTGGAGATTGGTTTTCCAGGAAGACACACAGAAAGTATTTTTTACTCGCGATGTATCTATGTTCAAAACTTGATGCATGCAAAAACGGGTGAAACCTTAAGTAGTCAATTGCTTTCAGCAAAAATATATTTCATCACAATTCATCTGTACGCTCTTGACATGTGATGCATTCACATTGTTAATTTGTGATGACTTTTTTGTGATATCATTTGTAAGTACTTTACTATCTAACACAAATAGTAAAAATATAATTCACTAAAGAGATACCTGATTCAACTTGTCAAAATTAAATCAATGGAGAACACAAATACTTTACAAGATTTTTTTAAAGTATATGTCATTGAAAACTATGAATAGTTCATTCTAATGGTAAGTTAACATGATTTAATAATTATGGTTTAATGGATGAAAAAAACCAAGACATTAAATTAATTTCTAACGCTATAATATCCAGAAATTTAATCTTTTGAATAATTTAAAGTTCACTTCATTCTAATATGCTCTAAATGAGAAAGAGATTCCTCACCTTTTGACGTCAAATGGAATGTAAATCCAGTTGAAGTGGATGGAAGGGTATTAAAGCTACGTAGATTTTGTTTGTTTGTGGTTGGACTTCTCTCTCTTTTTATTGGAAAAGCTCTGCTTTTGGTTATACAACAAAATGCACTTGAAATTCTGAGAGAAATACAATAATCGATTTAGAGACTTGTTCGTAAGATTTTATTGGTAGAGCAAGCACCCTGCGACGTACGTTGAATTCAAAAACTCGGGATGAACTTAACAATCTCCTAACAAGAACATTTTTAATTGAAGAAACTAAATTGTTTGAGGTTTTCAATACGTTTTGAATCAATATAAAGTTTTTTCAACTGTTAGCTGCTTATTGATTGTTAATTAATTAATTTTTTCATTACAATTTTTTTATATTTTCAAAATTAATTAGTATCAATAATGCAAATTGTATCACAATTCTCTAGAATCGTGCACTGAGTAACAAATCAACATATTTAAAAAAAAGTTTTAGATATTTTTGAGTACTGGAAGTTTGAAATTTTTTACTTTCAATTTTTGGGTTTTTAATCATCTTGTCAAATACACTCAAAACATAATTGAAGTCAATGGCACAAAACTTTCTTAATTAGATATCATTCAACTCTAATGGTGCACTTGTGCACCGTCAATTTATACGTAGTGCACCGTCCATTTTTCTAAATACGCAGAACCTAATTTTTATAATCATTATTATCTGTAATCAAAATATATCCTATTGTATTTCTTCGATTTGGAGAATTATTACGAATGTTTCCCGCCAATTCGGAGATAACCGGAAGTAACTAACCGAAACGAAGAAAGTATTTGGACTCGGGATCATTGCTGTTTCGGGGAATTTGGAAACGCTGCGCCAGTCTACTGAAACGGACATCTGCAGGTCCTCAATCCAAGCGCAATGTGAGCGGAACTACAGTTCCGATGGCTCCCCTCGCTGTGAAGTGAATGGTGAGCGGGAACTTTGGCCTTCAAATCCACTTCACAGGGGGGCGTAGGGAAGGCGGGAAATCTGCCGGCCTCAGAAGCAGAGATTGCGCCAATGGCCCATTCAAATCACTCTGTTTTCTCCTCTGCCCATTTCCTCGTTTGGAATCTTTCCAAGTACAGCCTTCGGCTGCGCCTCGACCTTCCGGAGCTTCGAGATTCGTCGATCCTCCAGCTCTTTCTTACCACTCTGAACAGATTCAAACCTCCTCAGCCCTCAGTAAGTACAGAGAGGAGTTAATCTCTCGTTTTCCATCTGCCTCGCCTTATTTCAGCTGAGCTATGAAGCTTCAGCTGCACTTAATTTTCAGCCCAGATCAGGTCGTGAAAGGGGACATCTTAGTGAAGCATTGATGGGTGGGAACGTCGGTCAATCTGAGTGTTCGGTGCAGTCAGCTCAATTCTCGATACTTTTTTCGAGCTAGGAGCAGACTGAAGATTTTGGTCTCCCGTAATTCACCGTCGTGTCCGACGAAAGGAATTGCTCCCAAAACCAAATCAGGGGCACAGTTTGCACTTCGATATCGTTGAGGGATCTAGTTTGTGCAGGTTTATCTTCGGATTTCAATTCCCACTCGTCGCTAGGCTGTCCGGGATTGTTGGACGTGCAGAAGATCCCGAATTACTCTGCGTAGTTACTAATCTGGTTGGAGGGAATTCGTCATGTGGACTTCCTTTTTTTTCATCCCCGACAAGTTGCTGTGGGCTGAGAAATTTCACAGGTAGTGCACTTGGCTCGTGAATCTTTGACAATATCCTTGGACCTGCGGCACTTTGGGTTCGCGCTGGGGGAACATTCGCACCTACTCAGCGAAAATGGAGGATGCAGTCATGCGAATGATTGCAGAGGTAGAAGCTCGGAAGAATGCTGAAGGTTCAGAGCACACCGAGCTCACACTCCGCCAGACAGTGCGAGATACGCTGAATGCCGACCCCATTTTCATGGACTTGGGGGCCCTCGTAGACGCATACGCCGAAATCACACCCCCGTCGAACTCCAGAATCCACTACTCTCATCCTGACAACCCAATTCTCGGGTACGCTTCCACTCTCCTCGATGTCCACTACATGCTGGTGAAAGATCCGCAGAGGTGGTGCAACGCCGAGCTGCCTGAAGACGAAGTCTGCGAGCTCTATCACAGGTGGTTCCACTACATGGCGCAGGCTGCTAGAGTAGTCAAGGACTGGGGACGAGCCGATGGCAAGACTCATTCGAAGCGTAATCTCTGGTTTGACAACTACTTGTTGACATCCGATGACGACGACCGCTGGCTCTACTACATGAAGATGAGTCGTTGCACGTTCCTGTGCATTAGTAACCGGTTGCAAATGCTGTCGTGGAGAGACCATCCCATCTCCAGACCCGAGGTGCCGATTCCAGCTCAGTTAGGTGCCACTCTCTATCACCTCGTCCATGGAGCTGATTATCATAGCATATCTGAAGTCTTCGAGATCGAGCCCTCTGCCGTCCAGGAGACACTGGAAAAGTGCGTTGACGATCTTCTTCGCGCGTTGGGAGAGTACTTGATGTGGCCACGAGCGAAAAACTTGCTGAATGTAATCTCTGGTTTCAATGAGCATTGGGGCCTTGCGAACTGTCAGGGGGTCCTGGGCACCGTACGTGTCAATGTCACACCCCCTAAGTTTCATGGCTCTGTGGTTCACGTCGTTGCTCTTCAAGGTGTCTGTGACTCTTCAGGGGCGTTCCTCAATGTTTTTTGCGCCCACCCAGGCAGCTTGATCGACTGCGATATTTTACGATCTTCGAGCTTCTATCTAGAGGCCAATCGCGGATCTATTTTGAAGCCTTATAAGGTTCAACAGAGAGGTGAGCTAGCTGCAAGACCCTACGTCCTGGCTGGCCAGGATTACGAGCCACTGCCATGGTTGCTCATTTCAGGTACAGAGTCTTCGGATTCCGACGGCTCTGACGCAAGTGATTTTCCGGACCGGACTATGATGGCGAGATCTTGTATAAATCGAGCGTTCAAGGACTTGATGAAGGATTTCTTGTGCCTCCGAACTGGTGTACTCTGTGAGTTGCAAAACGCTCCCGCTTTTATTCACGTGTGCTGTATACTGCACAATCTTCTTTATCTCAAAGAGGATCGCCCAGTGAGGCCATCACCAACTCAGCGTCTCTCTCCATCCAGCTCCGACTACCAGTCAAACGATGAGAGCTCAGATGACTGGGAATCCGAGGACGAGGTTGAGGATGACGAACACGATGTGAAGTTCGTGCCTGCAAGTGCACGAGCCGATGGCGAAGCGATTCCATGTGCATGACGGAGAAATTTATCCACCCGGGCTTGTGACGGGTCTCGTGAGGGGACGGAGCCCCCTCACGAGAGCATCATTTTGATCGTTGCATGACATGCACGGTTATTATTTGTGGCTTTTTGGTGAAGTAGACAGCGTCAGGTCAGAGACTGGTATTCCACACAGCAACTCCATCGTGTGAATACACAACGCAGCTCTGTTTTTCCTACCCTTTCTACTGAGTATGATTCGTTATAAACGGCAGTATATAGTGTAACATTGTGTATAGAACTGTGCATTAAGAAAATCTTTGGATTAGTATAATGTGGACTCTGTCCTAGGCTGAAAGACGAGAATCGTTTCCTAAGATTTCTAAAGATCCTCGGTAAGTTACTCCGATGGTCCTTAGATGTAGCTCTCAGCACACGGTAAGACTCGGCAGCAGCGATTCGCTCTCAAGTATGCCGTATTCAGAATGTTTAGTTATAGAAAATAGCGTTTTATGTAAGATTAGGGGTTGGCTGCAGCCCGATTCGTGATGGAATACTTGTAGCATCTGAGAATTCGCAGTGTGCAAAATTTTGTTAGTGATTATTTGCGTTTCTTCTATTAAAGCACGCGGTCAGACCTACAGGTCACGGCTTGTGTCTTCGTGTTATAAACATGGAACAGATAAGCTGGAATGTCACATGAAGATATCACGTCACCAGAGATGTTGATAAATTTCGTGTTTTCCAGTAATTGATATGATTCCACAACAATGGTATTGCGGATTTACAACAAGAAATCGAGTAGTATCACATGAGAAATCTGTACAATGTGAACGTACTCTGAGACATACATGCTTCAAATGACGTCGTATGTCGGTAAGTGCAAGTCAATTCGATAGGCACAAGCAAGTGTTGAGTACCTCAATGCCCGCAAGCCATAGAAATTTGAATGTTGGCAGATGTAAGTCGTGTGTACCACTGTAAGCGAAATGTTATAAGTAAACCCCGCAATCTAGTCTAGCTGGCCAGCTATTTCGGCAGACGGTTTATTGTGAAGCTCGAGCAAAGTAAATTCGAAAGCCTTCGAGTCCAACCTTACCTTACAACTTTCAGAATAAATTGAAGATGGTCAGAATTTCAGCGATGGAGGAGCGTTTGCTACACTGGAACTGAATAGACTTTACAAGTTGTAAAGTACCACCCATAGTCAGCCATTTATCATTTTGCATATTAGAGTGACCGACTGTTTATCTAGCAATTTCTTTTTTCCTGCCGTGTAGAATACGAGTGTTAAGTAATCATTAATGTAGATGTCGCATATTAGTCATTGTAAAGATATAAAGTTTTATGTGTATATATATATATACATATGACAATTTTACAATTTGTATCTTATTTTAATTTCATATCAATTTATCATAGTTTGAAATTTGTTGTAAATTATTTTATATATTATTTCATAATTAGAAAAATCAACTAATCATATTATCATTTAATGTAACTCAAAATATGATAAATGATGTTATTAATATTTTCTCGTGCAAAAATAAATGTTCATTGAAAAAGTTTATAGTGGTGTTTTTTATATCAATTATACATTTTGTTACTGGAATCAACATGATATACAACAATCATATCCATGATCTTGCACATACTTCGACAACTGAAGTTTATTTGTAACATGAAATTAATATGCATGATTCCATGACACACCATGTTCATTGTTATAAGGTGATTTGATAATCATCGCCACCAAATCAATGTACATTAGTTTGAAATTACAATAGTTTTGGCATGCATCTCAATCTAAAAATCACATCTAATGGATTTTATATGCTATCACAAATACTATACACACGATAGTGATGCGATTGCAAGGTCATCGTCTTACGCTTAACCAACAACAAAATAGATGTTCAATAACTAACTAATGAGTTATTGCTCAAAGATCAATGCATTTCTCCACTCCAACTTTGAAAATCTGGAAGAATCCACTTATGTCATTCACATCGATCGGTTGGCTTCTTATATTGAGATCACAAGTTTCATTAAAAATATTGGATATTTTGTTTTGACTACAATCAACAATCTTATTAAACAAATTCGATAGTTACTTCTTCGCCATGTTGAGTTACTTATTTTTGATATCGTAGATGAATTTATAAATTGCGTAGCAATACAACAAACAACTATCTCAAACCAACGCGACTCGAACAGCAATCTCAAGTGTACATGAATGTACCCTTTTGAACTAATGAAACTTAAAGGTTGTAATATCAATGGTCTTATCATCGAATAGAAATATTGTCTTGATCTTAATTGATCTCTCTCCAAAATTGACAAAATTAGATTTCAATTTGCAAAACTTTCATGTACAAGATTTCTGCAATCATTAGTGTTCGTTTGACGATGCGTGATCATTTCTATGTTTGTCAAGCCATTTCAATGTTCTAATCGATTTTGTTGGCAGATCAGATTCACCATTGAAAATTACTTCTCAATGTTGAAATTTTGGAAAAACGTATTTAACATGTTGGTTGATTTTTCTGTCAAAGTATTTCTCCAATGTAAACGGTTGATTTCAACTTCTCGGAAACAAACAGAATTGAGGTTTAGAAGCGGTTCAAATTGAACGAACTCGGAATCTAAACGGTTTATCTTTTGCGCACATTGAAATAACGAAACATGTTTTTTTTTTCATGTTTGATTTCATGATAAAAAATATACGAGAATATATTTTGTGCAAATACATCTGTCGTTTTGCAATTCAACAATTGAAATTGATTGAAGAAAGCTTTGATCAATTTCAGTTGTTCGAGAGTAAACAAAATTGAGGTCTAGAAGCGTATCAATTTCAGATGCTCGGGAACAAAGAGAATCGAGGTTTAGTAGCGGTTCAAATTGAACGAACTCGGAATCAAATGGAATTGAGAGAAAGCAGAATTGGTATCAGTTCAATAAAAGCAAAATCGGAATCTGAAAGCAATTCAAATTGAACAAAATTTATAATTCCAACCATTGTCCAAGGTTTTCAAATTCAGCTTTGGGACAGTTGTCCAATATTGGCCACATGAAACACGACTTTGAAAAGTACATCCACAAGATCGCTTCTCAATGACACACATGAGGATAGTTTACTACAAGTGTTCGACATGATCGTGATTCCGACGTGGCTGCTGCCAACTTTGGAATGAGCTTGTGTTGATGACAGTTCGTAGATTGACTGAAAGTATATCAATCTGTATTATTTCTGTGTAAAATTCTATCTGAAATTGATAGAAAAAATATTCCCATCTAGTTCTTTCAGTATGAAATTTGGTTGAAATTGATCTAAATTTCTTTCTATATTACTGAATTAGAATCATGTAAGTGATGATGTCTAATTTTATTGATCATTTGTGACCAATTTGCTTCAGATTAGACACAAGTAGTCATATTCCTAATCTACAAAGACATGTTTAATATTGTTTTATAATTAATGTTTTGTTTACATAAGAAAGTGTGACTTTTTCCAGGTTTTCACGAAGAAGTAATACTTTGGCGTTGATTCATAATAGATGTCATTTTTTAATGTTTTAAGTAACATTTCAATTTAAGTAGTAGATTATAGATTAGTAAAAACATAACTTAAAAATCACATAAATTCTCTAATTATTTTCAATGTTTCTTTCTATTTTCTCTCCATTTTCCAATTATAAAATGATTTTATTATATTCATGAATTTGATGTTCAAAAGTATACTCATTTTAGCTTAGAATTTTATGTGAGTAAAAAATGTTATAGTGTTTTATAAATTAGGTTAAAAACTAATTGCATATGATAACTATGATAAGAAAATTTCACATCACAATCACTTTTTTCAATTGAAACTTAATATATATATAGATAATGAATTTCATAGGTAAAAATAAAAATATGAAAAAATATAATAAATATAAATATTTGAATTTTTTTTTCTTGAACAAATTTTTTTATGTATCAACAAGAATAATATTCTGATTTCATCATATATACTTGATTGAAATCTAATGTTAATTTATGAATCATTACTATTATTATTATTTAAATCTATCTTCACATATGAATTATGAATATGAAAGCTTAGTTATGAATATCATAATTAGTTCATGAAGTAATCTGTGATATGTATAATGAACATATAGCAATGGATTGTCTAATTCATGCTATATGATTTACATTAATTTTGAATCTTGAATTGTGTGAAATGAGCATTAATTTTTAAAATCTTGCATTCTTTTCACAAGCTTTTTTCACCTCATGAATATTGAATTTTACACAAATTGGCCTTAATAGCATTATATTGATTCTATCATGTGTTATATTATTAAAATTTTGTAATTGTTTATTGGTGTTTGTAACTATTTTAGGTTAGTTAGAACTAAATAATATTTATTAAAGATGAAATGATAGCTACATTATAGTGCATTATTTATTATCGTCACATGAACAATTTTTGTGTTTATTATAGAGGAAAAAAATTGATTCATTTGAAAACGATATATCAACAATACATATATTTGTTAGATTGAAAATGAATGTTTGTTAAGTTAGTTGAGAGTTACATGTTATCAATTCGTGTGTTTGTAAAGTTTCTACGTCACGTCATTAATTTACTAAGACTTAAATAAATAATGAAAGTGAACTCTTATTTTTTTATTTGTTGATAAAATTTATATAAAGTAGAGTAGAACATTTAAGATATCTATCAACTTTGAAATTGTGTTTTACATTCAAATGAATTTTTCTTTTGATACCTATTGTTGCAATGATATCATAGCTATTTTTCTATTTCTTGAATGTAAGTTTTATCTAGTGAAATAACAAGAATGTGATGACATCATTTGGTTCATGAAAGTATGTAGTGTTTTAAAAAAATGATTGCTCTAAATATAGACAGATTAGAAAAAAATAATTTATAGTTTGCAAATATGAATATATTTGGAAAACTTCAAACTCTTTGATATTCATCTTTTTTTAATGAAGAATCATTATTTTTGAATAATATTGTGGTATATTGGGATAAAGATTTCAATGAAAGAATGAATTTTTCAATAATTTGAAATGTCAATTTGTGTGTGAACTTGAATGATGAATGAAAAAAATGTGTGAAAAGATGTTTAAAATTTATGTGTAGAGAATTTTTTCAATTATGAAAGAGTGAGATTTTCAATATCTTGAAATATTGAAATGTGTGTGAACTTGAATAATGAATGAAAAGAAATATATGAGAAGATGTTTGGAACTTATGTGTTGAGACTTGTTTCAACAATGAAAGAGTGCTTTTCAATATGTTGGAATGTTGATATGTATGTGAACTTGAGTGATGAATGAAGAAAATGTGTGAGAAGATGTTTGAAACATGAGCATGAAGAAGTATAATAATTTTCTAAAACCACGATCGGGTATCACAAAGCCATATGAGGTAAGCTTGAAATAAAATTAACGGGAGATTGCAAGACAAAAATA